GTGTTCCTTTACCAGAGGCAGGGTGAAAAGGTCGGTCAGGCACAGACCACCAGTACAGCAGCTACCAGCTCAGTGGTCTTTGAACAGCCAGGTTGAGATTTTGAGTCTACTGCAGAGATAGATATACTGGTGGTTCAATCAGATCAGGACAGTATGTCAGGCTTAGAAGAGATGGTGCGCCAGCTCCAGGATAGTATAAAAGCCATGCAACAAGATGCTGCCCGTCAAACGGAATTCGCCAAGCAACAGGCCGTGGTCATAGCCCAACAGGCAGAGACAATTGCCAGGTTAGAGCAGCAAACTGGTGTATCTACTTCACATCAGGCTCCTCCCCCACCAAGAGTTCCCATACTCGGGGAGGCAACCCACGTTCAGGATGATACAGACATTCCAGGCGGGCCAGCTTTCGCCCCCGGTTCTACCCCAGCTATCTAAAACACTCACCAACCTACCAGACTCCCCCTTTGAGTTCGAGACGGACCCCACAGCATTGAAAGTGAGCAAGCTTGAGAAATTGTTCAAAAAGTCTCAGGGGACCCACTCTATTCCTAATATAGAGGATGGTTATACCGACTCAGTGGTAACCTTGCCGGAGCGGTTTAAAATGCCGCATATCTATCAGTTCGATGGCTCTGAAGACCCAATGGTGCACCTCCAACTATTTTCTGATATCTTGAGGCCAATGGGTTTGACCATAGCCCAAAAATTGTCACTATTCGACCGAACCCTGTCTAGGATAGCCGCAATCTGGTATGCAAAATTGGAGAACTCTGTGAAACAGAACTGTAAAGAGCTGGCTGAGGCCTTTATTGCTCAACACTCCTACAACACACAGATTGAGGTCACAACTCATGATCTTGAAGTCACCCGCCAAGAGCCAAAGAAGGGTTTCTCAGAGTTCGTGATGAGATGGAGAGCAAAGGCCTCAATGATGACTACAAGGCTTTCCGACAAAGATCAGATCAGGATGATTGTTCAAAATCTGCATGGCAAGTTGCTGCAAAAGATGGTCGTTCTACCTCTGTTTACCTTTCCAGCCCTTCATGAAATGGGGGTTCAAATCGAGGATGCCATCAGGCAAGGGATCTTTGCAGAAGATAATGAGCCTTTGAAGAGGAATGTTGCTCGCAGTTCTAATGCTACTACTGATGGTAGCACAGCTGCGAAATGCTCAGAAGTAGACACCATCGCCACTTCCCTCAATGGCCAAAAACCAACCCCTTCAACTCAGCCCTAAGCCCGAAAATTCCATCCTCTTTACATGAGTCTCTCTCAAGCTTTGGAAAAGCTGCGAGAAGAAGGGCACTTAGAACTTCTAGAACCCCAACCCTTTCCAAACCCTCTTCCATCAAGATATGACCCAGCTAAATACTGTGCCTATCATCAACAGCACGCTCATGATAAGAACCGTTGCATCCGCCTCCGTCATAAGATTCAGGATCTTATTGACAAAGAGACCCTA